GCGGAACCGCCATCGCCTGAAAATGACCCTGAAGCACTGGGTGAGGAATTTGATAATCAGTCTAATCTTGAATCCTCTCCACTTCCTCACGAGGATTTTGAAAAGCCTATGAAAAGGCTGAATTTACAACCTAGACAATCTAAGGCATTGCAGGGAAAAGGAAGGACTTCACCCAATTCTTTCCTGGTCTCAAGAGCTGCACTTGGTAGTTCCAGTGCAGTTTCAGCAAAATTAAAATGTTTATCATGGGAGGAGGGCTATGCATTTGTTGTTGCAGATGGATCCACTGGAACATTATGGATTCCTGTTCAGTTACTCTGGCCCTGGACTATCAAGGACAATGTCAGAGGACAACCAGATAGTGGAAGTCACCAGAAAGATAGCAAACCTCCAGCTAAAGGGCAAAAGGAAACACTGACCATATTCTCATATTAAAGCAATACAAATCTGTGGGTCTAAAATATTTTAGCTATTTTGACAGTATGACCATTGTTTAACAACAACAGCAGGTTCTCTCTTATGTACTATGATTCCCCAAGTCACAGGATTTTGGTCAGAATTACAGTAACTGATATCCAGTTCCTCAGGTAAATAGTCCTCACATCTAATCAGAAAGAGGTTTGTTACTTCCACAACCCCAATGCTTAGTCTTTCCTGGTGGTTTTTGCTTTGATTGTTGTTGTTATGGTGGTGGTGGTGGTGGTGGTGGTGGTGGTGTGTGTGCGTTGATCAAACTTTGCTTGTTCTATACAAGTACTCTATCAGTAAACTACATCTCTAGCCCCTCACCAATATATTTCTTGATACAGTGGTCTCCTAAGAGGATGATCAACTGGACAAGCATTTGAGTGCTATATTAGTATGTTTTATTTGTGAGTTCATTACAATAAAGTAATTTTTCTTTATAAAAACAGAAAATACTGCAACCTAGGAAAGCCTTACAATTTGGGAAAATGAAGATAGTTGGTCATCCTATAGCACAGATTTTTTTTAAAAAAAAAACAAAGTCAGAATTTATTAAAAAGAGGTTTTCAAGGCTGAGGAGATGGCTTACCAATAAAGAACATTTATTGTTCTTCCAGAAAACCTGAATTTGGTTCCCAGCACCCATGTCAGGTGGTTTAAAGCTGCCTGGTGATATGATACCTTCTTCTGGAGTCCTCAGGCCCCCTTACACACACACACACACACACACACACACACACACACACACACACACTACCACTACTATTACCACAAATTACATTCTTTTTAAAACAGCTTTTAATGGGCAGTAATTAGTAGAGGGAGACACTTAGGAAAAGAACAATGTATACCAATATTGGCACTGGCGGCTCAAGGGAGAGCCATGTCAAGAACCTCAAGAATAGAATTGAAGGGGAAGGCAGGTTCAGAGCAGATGTACATAAGAAGCCCATATCCCCCTTCTCCTTAGGAGATTGAGGAGATGCTGAAATCTAACAATTGGATATCCTCAGTCACTGATACTTTATCAGGAGTTCAGTGCTGTTCTCTGCTGCTGGTTTGTTGGGAATGCAACAACAGCTATATCACCCGTGTAAAGGTGAAGCCTGGGGGCTGGAGAGATGACTCAGTAAGAGCTTGTACTACTTTCTTGCAGAGGACGTTAGCTGTCAGTTCCCAGCAGCCACAACGCCAGCTCCAGGGGATATGACTCCTCCTGGCTTCAGGCACTCACATACGCGAAGTTCACATAAACATACATAAAGAAAAATAAATCTTATAGAAGAAAACGTGCATCGTGGAGGAGAGAATAGGTGAGACAATTGCCATGTTCTCTCTTGGGAAAGATACCTAAGAAGAAAACTGGAGAAGTGCTGACTTGAAAAAAAAAAAAAAAACAACAAGGTATCACAATCCCTGGAGGGCTTGTTAAACACCGCCTGCTGGGCCCAATTCCCAGGGCTTTAAACTTAGTTGTTCTGGGTGGGGCTTAGATAATTTGCATTTCTAACAAGTTCCCAGATGATGCTGATGCTGTTGGCCTGGAGACCATGTTTTGAGAACTACTGTTCTAACTACGTGTTAGAAATGGTTCCAAAACTGAGGCAGTTTAGTGGCCCAGATCACAATCACCAGGTTAAATGTACAACCTAGATCCACAGCCTCAAGGGATGGGACAGACAAATGGACATGGAATGTCATGAAAATAGAGTGGAGCATGAGGATGAGAGAGTGACAGAGCCTGCTACGTCAATCAAGTCCGGTAGCTCTATGAAGACATTACACAGAGACCTTAATGAACAGAGAACATTTCCTCTATTTTTTCTGTGTTGGAGATACATTAATATTTTTGGTTTTTTGAAACTGATTTTTATTGAGCTCTACATTTTTCTCTGTTCCCCTCCCTGCCTCTCCCCTCGCCCCTTCAGCCTTCCCCCAAGGTCCCTATGCTCCCAATTTACTCAGGAGATCTTGTCTTTTTCTACAAGATACATTAATATCTTAATACATTGCTGGAAAAGTATTACAGAAAGGAAGAAAAGTCAGTGCAAAGACATGAGAAGAATATGGTATGTGTTTCTGGAATACTTCAAAACCAAGAATTAGGTTCTTTTTTCTTTTACAGGTGCTTATTTTGGAGGATGAAGAGTGTATGTGAATATGTTGTAGACGTCATGGGACAACGTTTGAAAGTTGGCTGTCTGCATTCACCATGTGGATCCCATGGACTGAACTCAGGCGGTCAGATTTGGTGGAGCACCTTTACCTGCTGAGCCATCTGGCTGGTCCTAAAAATTATTTTTTGTTGTTATGCTTCTTTTGGCAACAGGCTTTCCTTGAACTAGCTACCTAGTAAGGTTAGCCTTGAAATCTGGGTTATCCTGTTTCTGCTTCCTGACTGCTGGGATCACAGGTGGTGCTACCGCACCTAGGTTTCCAAACCAAGAAGTTGGTATCTTTGTGTTCTTTTTTTCCCCTCGAGACAATAAATTGCAATTTATTTTCTACAACATAAATAAGGACACACAACACATGTTGTTCTGCAGCTTGCAGTGTCCCTTGATGATAAATCATGAATATTCATGTGATTACACTTAAGAGCTGCCTCACCGTTTAAAAAGGCTGAAGGGTATTCCATTGGATAAAATGTACATGGATTCATTTGCGAAAAATTCAGTTGTTTATCCATTTACTCCATATGAAGAGTTAAATTGTTTCCATTTCTTTTGTTGGTTTTTGGTTTTGTTGGGTTTGGTTTTTATTGTTGTTTTGTTCAAGACCTCGAATTCACAGAGATCCACCTGCCTCTGCCTTCTGAGTCCTGGGACTAAAGGCATGAGCCACAATGCCTGGCTCAGTACTTGCCTGACCCCAAATGTCCTTAATAAGGATGCACACTTTGTGGGCATGTGTACTTCATCATGCATGCCTATGTGCACTAAAATGTGCTGTGTGCTGAGTACTAGGTCACATGTTGAAAACAATGATAAATAAGACATTATTCCTTTTCTCATGGACTATATAACTCGGGGGTAAAACCATACAAGAAAAAAAAACGACAAGCTGAGAGAATTACATCAAGGTTAACAGGCATTGTTATGCTGAGTCAATGCACCCTCCCAATCCTATTTTGCCTGGGTTCTTTCTAGCTTGACTATTGGCTAATGAGATCTTAGTGGGTTGTAATAGTTGATATAATAGATGTCCCCCACTAAATTCCCACATGCTTATCCTGAGAATCTGTGAATAAATTAGATTACATGGCAAAGGAAAACTATGGTTGCAAATACAATGAAAGAAGAATACCAGGGTCTTTAAATGTGGAAGATGGAGGGCTGCAGAATCAGGAAAGAATGCATGCTTGCAAAAACAGCAGTGAGGGTCTCAGAGCCTCAGTAGTAAAGCATGTGCATGAAGCACTGGGTTCCAGTCTCTGTAACACACACACACACACACACACACACACACAGAGAGAGAGAGAGAGAGAGAGAGAGAGAGAGAGAGAGAGAGAAAGAGAGAGGTATCAGAGTGGTGTAGTCATTGGCAGTAAAGATAAAAAGGAACTATCAGCCAAGAATATGACTTTCCAAACAAAGAGACATTTTCTTTCCTACAGTTTCCAGAAGGAACTTGGCCCTGGTGACACGAATTTTAGCCCAGTGATCCCACTTTGGACTTCTGATGTCCCAAACTGTAAGATATTGATGTTAAGTTTGTATTTCTTGAAGCCACTAAATTTGTGATCTACTGATAATTTTCTGGAAGAAACTAATTCACGGCTTCTTTGGATACACATTTGCTTTCCGTATCCAGGAACTCTCTTTTCTCTCCTTTATCCTTGCCTTGAATGTAGACCTAGTGACATTGAGAGAAAGGCCAAGAGGCTGCAAAGCCATCATCCCTGACCTTGCTGAGCTGTTACGCAAGTGCCAGCAGCTCGTGTCCTTCAGCCTTCCTGTTGGTGAGAAAATAACCACACAAACCCTTATTTTAATGCCACTGTACTTAGGTATTCTGTACTTACAGACAAAAGCATCTCAGAGCAGTAAGGTAGAGGCACCAGGAGCTGTGAGAGAATATTACTGAGACTCAGCCATAGGCACGCAAGGTCTATATGTTGGGAATGGAATTTTTCTTTCTCCCCTTCTGCCTTGCTCCCATTCATATGGGAGGTAGTTCTCTACCAGGTACAGGTTTTATGGACTTTACTATCAAATCTACTAGCTCCAAATCTAAAGAGGAAATGTCTGATCTCTAAGGAGGAAACATTCCATCTTGATGCTTTTTGCCAACCATTGCCCAGTCGCCTGTTACCCTACCTCAACCAGAAAGGGAGGGAGACAATATATTAAGGAAATGTTCATTCTCTTTTGGTGCGGGAGAATTATCTGTATTCTGTCAATCATGTATTTTAATAAAACGCTGATTGGCCAGGCAGGAAGTATAGGTGGGTCAACCAGACAGGAAGTAGAGGCGGGGCAATGAGAATAGGATAAGGCTAGGGAGGAGAAAACTCCCTTAGTCATTCCTGTCCAGACCACTGAAGAGGCAACATGTAAGCTGTCACACTGAGAAAGGTACTGAGCCCATGTGGCTAACATAGATAAGAATAATGGGGTAACATAAGGTATAAGAGTTAACAAGAAGCCTGACCTAATGGGCCAATCAGTTTATAACCTTATGGAGTCCTGTGTGTAATTTCTCTTTGGGATTTGCCAGCTGTTGGGGTACCGGGCGGGACAGAAGCCCCAACAAGCCGGCCCCCGTCATGTTACACTCTTTCATAGGCCTGAAGGCAGCCCTCTGCCGTTGCTTCTCCCTGTGTGCCGCAGCAATCCGTTGTTCTCTACTATACAGTTTCTTACTACAAGTACCCCTGCCCCTCTGCCTAAGAACTTCCTGTCCACAGAAGCGTTTCACCAAACTGTAAGATGGAATAGAGATGCGTCAAGGAGTTATGGGAACCAGGAGCATCCCTTAATCAATGCGGATGGTGCTTTATTGTTAAAAAAAAAAAATCGGGCGGGGGCAGTAGTGCCATACGCCTTTAATCCCAGCACTTGGAAGGCAGAGGCAGGCAGAGCTCTGTGAGTTCGAGGCTACCCTGTCTACAGAGCTAGTTCCAGGACAGTCAGGGCTACAGTGGGAAACCCTGTCTCAAAAAAGAAAGGAAGGAAGGAAAGAAGGAAGGAAGGAAGGAAGAAAGGAAGGAAGGAAGGCCATGACGAAGTACCTGGCTGAATAAACCTAAAAGCAGGAAACCTGTATTTTGCTTCATGCTTTCAGAGGCTCCAGTCCACAGTTGTGTGTTCCCTTGTTTATGGGTTGTGGTGAGCAGAGCGGTAGGGTGGGAAGGGCAGGGGAGGTTAACCCTGGTCACCTCACAGTAACCAAACAGAAAAGGAGAGGAAGGAACCAGAGACAAGATACAGCCTCCTAAAATTCACCTTTAGTGACTCGCCAGCTCTGGCCAGCCTCTGCCTGCTAGCATTTCCAGAGCTTTCCATAGTCGCACCACCCACTGGGAACCAAGCCCTCAACATGTGTGCCTAAGGACTTTTCCTCTAAGAACGCACTGGCGTGAACCTGGCGGTGGTGGTCCGTGCCTTTAATCCCATCGCTTGGGAGGGGGAGGCAGGTGAATTTTGAGTTCAAACTACCCTGGTCTACAGTGAGTTCCAGGACAGCTACAGCTGTTAATACAGAAAAGCCCTGTCTCGAACACCGCTCCGGCCCGGCGCCCCCCCGGCCAAAATAACCAACAACAAAAGAAATAACAGTGTGAATAAAAGGAAGCTACTCTGGCTTTCTTGCTTATTAGGTGGAAGACTCTAAGGCATGTTTTTTCTATTTAGTCTTCCTGAGATCCCGGTGGAGCTGAATGCCACTTGCCCACAGCACTAACCTCCTCATTAACAGAAGTTGTATTGTTTTCTTTTTTTCCCCTGTCTAACTTCCCTCCATCGCTTCCTGGGATTACCTACGAGAGAAAACTTTTCCTCTCAGATACTTACCTCAGGGCCTGTTTTAGTCAAAGTAAGACAGCAAGATCAGAAGTGATCCTGTAAAATACACCCTCAGGGTAGAGAAACCAGAAGAAATTCTTGTCACAGTGAACGAAAGAACTGTATGATGAGACAAAGGAAGAAATCGGAACATTTTATTATAAAGTACACACTCACGCACTGAATATAACCTCAAGAATCACACTGTACAGGTTTGCCTTTGAGTATATACTAAATCTGTGAGGTGGTGAACAAAATTAGACTTTTTCTTTGATTAATTTTATTTGCATTTATTTTAAAAGATTTATTATTACTCTTTTTATTCACGAATAAAAAGAGTAATAATAAATCCCTTTAAGAAAGAGCAAGTGATTTTAAACACTTGGCCATCTCTCCAGGCCCCAAATGAATCTTTAAAAATTATCCATTGACTATTTATAAAACTTGATGTTGGCAGAGGCCACTCGTTAGCCAATAAAAGCAACACATATACAGGACTTCCCACATCAACTCAATGTATCTGTATTTGTAGAGAGAAGAAGAAAAGAAAGCTGGGGATGGATCTTAGGAGGCTGGATATGGGAAGAATGAATATGGGTGTATGCGTGGATGGAACATTCTCCCTTGACTTAAAATTTAATATCCTGGCAAGACTTCTGGAGTTAGGCCTGCTCTCCTGCTTGAATGAAGTGTTGAAATTTGTATTTAAACAGACAGAATTAGGGTTTCTGAATTCCACTGACATCAAAATATTCACCCAAATATAATAATCATAAACTTCCATTTGCCACTGTTGTCAATTATGTCTAAAATAGTATAAAAGTGAAAAAATTAGACAAGTAACACATTTTAGTCTCAAATTAGGGGGTATGTGTGGATAAAATATAAAATGAGTCTCAATAAAAAACCAAATAGAGTGTTCACTTTAGCTACACATACACAAAAATTGGAGGAATACAGATGTTAACATGGCCTCAGTGTAAAAATATGACATTCAAATCTAAGAAGTGCTTCATATATTTTAGATATATCACTCAAACTACAAATGAAAAAAAGAAGCTTCTGAGTTAAACTATAGCATAGTTCACATGAACTTAACAGATATATACAATAAATAGAGAACATATATTCTTCTGAACAGGTCATGAAACCTCCTCTAAAATAAGCTAACATTATATGCCACAACACAACTTTTAACAAATACAAAAGAACTAAAATATTTTATTCTGTTTTATCAGAGCATGGTGAAAAAAACTAGAAATAAATAGCAAAAAAAACAGTGATGTGGTATGCCTTTCTGTGTGCTGTGAATATGATTTATTACCATTGGTTAATAAAGAAGCTGCTTTGGACTATGGCAGGGGAGAATATAGCTAGGCAGAAAATTCAAGCAGAGAGAGAGGAGGAGAAAGAAGGTGGAGTCAGGGGACATAAGCAGTCACCAGAGAAACAAGATGTGAGGTATAAGCCATGAGCCTCATGGTAAAATAAATAATAATATAAATGGGTTAATTTAAGTTGTAAGAACTAGTTAATAATAAGCCTGAGCTAACAGGCCAAATAGTATGTAATTAATATTAAACCTCTGAGTGGTTATTTTAAAAGCAGTTGCAGGCCCAGCTGTGGGATGAGAAACCTCCAGCTACAAAACAGTACAGAAACTAAAGAAATACATGAAGACTGAATACATTCTTGAATCAGCAGTGGGTCACTAAAAAGTCAAGAAGAAATTTAAAAAACTCCTAGACTCAAATGAAAGTACCATTTACAGAAACCTTTGTGATGCAATTAAGTAAGTTCTTTTTGTTGCTTTTGGAGACAGGGTCTCACCGTGTATCTCATGGGATTCAACCCTTAGGAAAAGAACTACAAGCAACTAATGACTGCTGAGAGAGAGAGACTATTAGTCTTTCCAAGGATTGAGCCCCTAATTGATTGCCCAGTACTAAGTGGTCAGCCCTGAAAGCATACAAATGTAAGTAACACTAAAAGGACACCTCAGATTTTATTATCTGTTTGTGCATTTATATGTGTATAATAGCAGTAATCAAGGAATAGGATTCTATGAATTGGAAAAGGAGTGAAGGGAGCTATAGACACCTAATTTTCAACCATGGTGTCAAAAACATACTTCCAGATCTGTTGTGGTGGCACATGTCTGTAATGGTAGCATTTCTAAGGTAGAGGCAGGAGGATCAGAAGTCCAAAGCTAGCCTTATAACAAGCTCAAGGCCAGTCTAGCCTACATAAGATCATGTCTCAAAAATTAAACAAATAAATAAATAAAACTACTAACATGCACCAGCAATTGGACAGACTTTTTAATCAACAGAGCTAGAACAAGTGGATGGCAGCATATAAAAGAATGAAACTAGATCCGTATCTCCCACCATGCACAAAAATCATGTCTAAATGAGTCAAACCCTTATAATAAGACCTGAAACTTTAAACATACTAGAGTAAAACACCGATAAAAAAATTCAAGATAAATGCATAGGCAAGGACTTTCTGGAAAGGATTCGAATAGAATAGTAGATAACTGACAGAAGGAGTCGCATGGAATTAAAATATGTCTTCATAACAAAGAAAACAATCACCATCAGGACAGCCAGAATGATAGTTACACAGAGGAACCCTGTCTGAAAATGAAAAGAGAGAGAGAGAGAGAGGAAGAGAGAGAGAGAGAGAGAGAATTACTAGAGTGAAGAAATTAGTTACTGAATGGAAAAAATCTTTGCCTTCTATTTATCACACAGGATTAATATCTAGTATATAAAAATGCAAAAATAAACATACAGAAAAATTAAATCATCTAGCCAATAAGTGGGCAAGTGAATGGAATAAAAATAAAAACATGGCCAATAAGAGCTTGAAAAATTATTTGACATTCTTACCCATCCCAACTGGAATGGCGAACATCAAAACAAATGACAAAAAAAAAAATAATGGCAAAGCCTTGGAGAAAGAGGAACATTTATACAATGCACACAGCTTGTACATCGAGTACCTTCTCAACAGGAAGCCCAGTGAAGTATAAACTTAGTCATGGGAAGGGAACATTGAACATCTCACTGCTTGGGGAGCTCTCCAATGCTATGGCCTCCTCTTTAAGAAGGAAGATGCACACTGACTTCATGCATCATCACATATTGCTGTAAAAAGCAAAGGAAGGTGGCCCAGAGAAAACCACTGGTAGTTGAAGATACTGTGTATAGTCATGGCCAAGAGGGGCATGTGCCTTGTCTGATGCCACTCCACCTATTCTACCAACACATTTACATAGCATACTATGTCACTTGACTTGAGAAAAGCCTTACATAGAGGCACAAGCAGTCCACCACATCCATATCTGGGTCCTGGCCTGTACAGCTATTCCTTTTTCTTTATGAAAGGGACCCACAATGTAATCCTAACCAACCTGGAACTTGTTTTGTAGATCAGTTGGCCTCTAACTCAGAGATCTGTCTGTCTCTGTCTCTTGAGTGCTAGAATTAAAAGGATGTACCACCACACCTAGCCCTTATAAGTGATTTTAATATCTACGACCACAAATATACATGAACTATAACCAATAAGAAAATGAGAAACCACTTAGAATAGAGGGCAAATGATATGGAAATAATAGTTCACAAAACCTTAACTATGGGCTGGTGAGATGGCTCCGAATGTGACAGTGCTTTCCTGTGAGCCTAGTGACCTAGGCTTGATTTCCAGAAGCCACATGGCAAAAGAAAAGACCTGACTCCTCTAAATTGTCCTCTGACCTCCACACATGTGCCATGGCACACTTATGCCCCACTCCCATACACATAAAATAAATAAATGTAATAACAACTGTAAATACAAAATGATCCTGAAATCTATGGAAGTTTAGGATTTTTTAACTACATCACAGAACTGGAGTTCTAAGAATGCTAGAGTGATGGCCCAGCAGTTAAGCGCACTTGCTTCTGTTCTAGAGGACCAGAATTCAGTTGCCAGCACATGTCAAGCAGCTCATAACATCTGTAACTTTCATTTCAGGGGACTTGATGCCTTTTTCTGGCCTCCAATTGTACCTGCACTCATGTGCACAGAGACACACACATAATTAAAAATAAAATACTTCGTTAAATAATTAATGAAAAATGACTAATCATGGTAACATATGTCTTTAATTACAGCACCTGAGAGGTGGAGACAAGAGGATCTTTGTGAGTTCAGGCCAGCCTGGTCTACAGAGTGAACCGAGAAACAGAAAACCATGCAAGAGGATGGAAACCACCAGGTCCACTTGGTTGTGCAACTAAATTCAAGCCAACTTTCTTTTCAAGATTTATTTTATTATGTTTAACTGTATGGAGGTAGTGAGTGCATGTAAGTCTATTGCCCTCAAAAGTCAGAGGCAGATATCCCTGGACCTGGAGTTAAAGGCAGTTGTGAGCTTCAGGACATGGGTGCTGGGAACCAAACTCAAGACATTTGCAAGAGCAGTATGTGCTCTTAACCACTGGGTCATCTCTCCTGCTCCAAGTCCAATATTTTAACAGAAAGTTATCAAAAAGTTGTTTAGCTCAGTCTTCACATAAATATGTTACAATGAAAACCATTCTCTGTATGCCAATGGAAAAATGAGTAAAGGGCCTTTTAGTCCAGTTCAGAACACTGTGTGTCTAGTTTTCTTCTGATTCTAAGTTTTTGCGATCATCAAAATAAAGTTACTTTTCATTAAGCATGATCAGAAAAGATTCGCATAGAGACACAGGAAATAATTAGGAAAGAATGTGCTCTTCACTGATGTGTTCATTGATCACTCTCTGGGTGTCATTACAGTTATCAAATTACTGTGAAGATTTCCAGACTCTCTTCAATTCTGTATTTACCACCTGATGTGTCCTCAGACCACAGAAAAATATGAAAAGAGCTCATGTTTCTTATATAGTGTGTTAAATATGATGTATTAAAATATGATGTCTGTACCAAATATACACATGGAAATTTTCAAATAAAATAATAACAAAGCAGATCTAGCAGTGTGGCAAAGAATAGCACATCATGACTAAGTAAACTTTATTTCAAAAATGCAAAAATGATTTAACATTAGGAAGTCTATCAACATAATTCATATGAAGTAATCAAAGGAGAAGATACATATTATTATGTCAGTAGACATTGAAAAGGCAGTTAAAAGTAGCACCCATTGTAATATTTACAGTAATACAGATTAAAATTTAACAATGAAATATAATTAAATTTCTAAGGAAAACACAACAGCAAGCATTACACTAAATTGTGAAAATACAGAGTTCTTAATATTAAAATATAAAAATATTAAAATTAAAGGATGTTACCATCATTTTTATTCAGTACTGTTTCAGTATTCTAATTTACTCAAATAAGACAAAGTAATATTTGAAGCTGTGCCTCAAAACTACCCTACCATGCTTAAAAAATACAGTTTTAGTTTGGGAGATGTAACTCAGTTGGTAGATACCTACTGTGCATGAAGCCATCGATTCCAACTTCTGTACTGAATAAACAGATTGTAGTGCCACATACTCATGATCTAAATACTCTGGAATGTGGAGGCAGGAAGATAAGAAGTTCTCAGACTACATGAGGAGTTCAAGTTGTAGGCTAGCCTAGGCTCCATTAAACTTTGTCTTTAAAAAGAAAGGAAGGAAAGACGGAAGGAAGGAAGGAAGGACGGAAGGAAGGACGGAAGGAAGGAAGGAAGGAAGGAAGGAAGGAAGAAAGGAAGGAAGGAGAGGGGGAGGGAAGGAGGGAGGAAGGGGGTAAGGAAAGAAAGAAAGAAAAAGGGAAGGAAGGAAAGAAGAAAGAAAGAAGGAAAGAGAAAGAAAGAAAGAAAGAGAAAGAGAAAGAGAAAGGAAGGAAGGAAGAAAAAGAATCTCCAACAAATAGTGCTCAAAAAACAGGATATTTCCATGTAAAGAATGAAACTGGATCCATATCTCTCTGGGGACACAGAGTTCAATGGCACAATGTGTACCTAGAGTAAGTGATGTGAAACTAAACAGAGAATTCTCAACAGAAGAATCTCAAATAGCTGAATGACACTTAAGGAAATGTTCAACATCTTTAGCCATCAGGGAAATGCAAATCAAAACAACCCTGAGATACCATCTTATACATATCAGAACGGCTAAGATCAAAAACACCAATGATAGCTTATGCTGGAGAGGATGTGGAGTAAGGGAAACACTCATCCATTGCTGACAGGAATGCAAACTTGTATAACCACTTTGGAAATCAGTATGGTGGTTTCTCAGAAAATTGGGAATCATCATACCTCAGGATCCAGCAATACCACTCTTGGGAATATACCCAAAAGATGCTCAATCAAACTACAAAGGCATTTGTTCAACTATGTTCATAGCAGAATTATTTGTAATAGCCAGAACCTGGAAACAACTTAGATACCCCTCAACCGAAGAATGGATAAAGAAAATGTGGCACATTTGCACATTAGAGTACTACTCAGAGGGGAAAAAAACAATGATATCTTGAATTTTGCATACAAATGGATGGAATTAGAAAACACTATCCTGAGTGAGGTAACCCATACCCAAAAAGATGAATATGGTATGTACTCACTCATAAGAGGATACTAGCTATAAACAAAGGACATTGAGCCTATAGTTTCTGTTTCTAGAGGAGTTAATTAATAAGATGACCCCAAAGAAAAACATATATAGATCTACCTGGAAAGTCAAAATAGACAAGATTGCCTAACAAAATTTGGAGCATGAGGGTGGGAGGAAAAGGGAGGATGGAAGGAGAAGGGGAGGGAAGAAGGGAAGGGGTGAGGAGAACTTGAGAGAATGGGATACTTGAGATGGAGGAAGAACAGAGATGAGAGCAAGGAAAGAGATATCTTGATTGAGAGAGCCATTATGGGGTTAGCAAGAAATCTGACTCTATAGAAATTCTCAGGAATCCACAAGGACGACTCCAGCTAAGACCCTAAGCAATAAAGGACAGAGGGTCCAATCCTGACTTTCCCTGTAGTCAGAGTGATGAATATCTCAAATATTGCCATAGAACCTTCATCCAGCAACTAATGGAAACAGAGGTAGAGACCCACATTGGAGCACTGGAATGAGCTACCAAAATCCAATTGAAGAGTGGGAGGAATGATAATATGAGCAAAGAGATCAAGACCATGATGGGTACACCCACTGAAACAGTCTACCTGAATTAATGGGGGCTCACCAACACCAGCTGAACTTCGAAGGAAAGCATAGGACCAAACTAGTCCCACTGATTATGGTTGACAGTTGCATGACTGGGGCAGACTGAGGGGTCACTGGCAGTGGCACCAGGATTTATTCCTACTGCTTGGACTGGCTTTTTGGGAACCTATTCTCTTTGGATGGATACCTTGCTCAGCCTAGATATAGTAGGGAGGGCCTTGGATCTTCCCCAAAGCAATGTGCCTTACCCACTCTGAGGATTGGATGGGGGTGGGGGGGGGTAAGTGGAAGGAATGGGAGGAGGGGAGGGAGTGGGAACTTGGATTGGTATGTGTTGGAGAAGGCTGCTTGTTCATTCCAGCCACTCAGCTCCGAAATAATCACACAGAACCTGTATTACTTAAATTACTCCTTGGCCCATTAGCTCTAGCTTCTTATTGGCTAACACAAATTAATTTAACCTATTTCTATTCATTTGTGTATCGTCATGTGACTGTGGCTTACCTGGTAAAGTTCACAGCATCTATCTGAGGCAGCTCCATGGCTTCTCTCTAACTCTGCCTTTCTCCTCCCATGCTATAGGCCAAGCCAGTTTTTGTAACATGAGGGGGCCTGCTTGTTGGAGTATCTGTCCCACCCAGTGCCCCACAGCTGGCAAGCCCAAGAGAAAATCACATAGAGGACTCCATAAGATTGCAAACTGATTGGCCCATTAGCTCAGGTTACTTATTAGCTCTTATAACTTATGTCAGCCCATTATTTTTATCTATGTTAGTCACACAGCTCAGTACCTTTCTCAGCGGGGCAGCTTACATCTTGCCTCTTCCGTGATCTGGGCAGGAATGGGAGGAATAAGCTTCCTCCTTCCCAGAATTCTCCTGTTCTCATTGCATCACCTCTACTGCCTGCCTGGTTTTCCCACCTCTACTTCCTGCCTGGCCAATCAGCATTTATTTAAAACATGATTGACAGATTATAGACAGTTCTCCCACACCAAGTTTTTTATTCATTAACCAATAAAAGCAACACATACACAGAAGGACCTCTCATACCAGGTATGTATAATGGAAAAAGGTAGTTTGTTTTCTTTATTTTATTGATTTTTATTGAACTTTACATTTATCTCTGCTCCCCTCCCTGCCTCCCCCCTCCCTCCTTCAACCCTCTCCCAAGGTCTCCATGCTTCCAATTTACTCAAGAGATATTCTCTTTTTCTGCTTTCTACTTCCCATGTAGATTAGATCTATGTAAGTCTTTCTTAGTATCTGCATTGTTGTCTAAATTCTCTGGGATTGTGGTTTATAGGCTGATTTTCTTTGCTTTATGTTTAAAAACCACCTATGAGTGAGTACATATGATAATTGTCTTTCTGGGTCTGGGTTACCTCACTCAAAATGTTTTCTAGCTCCATCCATTTTCCTGCAAAATTTAAGATGTTATTTTTTCTGCTGTGTAATACGCCATTGTGTAAGTGTACCACATTTTCCTTATCCATTCTTCAGTTGAGGGGCATTTAGGTTGTTTCCAGGTTCTGGCCATGACAAACAAAGCTGCTATGAACATAGTTGAGTACAAGTCCTTGTGGCATGATTGGGCATTCTTTGGATATATACCCAAAAGTGGTATTACTGGGTCTTGAGGAAGGTTGTTTCCTAATTTTCTGAGAAATCGCCACACTGACATTCAAAGGGGTTGTACCAGCTTGCATTCCCACCAGCAATGCAGAAGTGTTCTCTTTTCCCCACCACCTCTCCAACACAAGCTGTCATCAGTGTTTTTGATCTTGGCCATTCTTACAGGTGTAAGATGGAATCTCAGAGTTGTTTTGATTTGCATTTCTATGGTGACTAAGGATGCTAAAAGTTTCCTTAAGTGTCTTTCAGCCATTTTAGATTCCTCTGTTGAGCGTTCTCTGTTTAGGTCTGTACTCCATTTTTTAATTGGATTATGTGTTCTTTTGATGACCAATTTCTTGAGTTCTTTGTATATTTTGGAGATCAGACCTCTGTCTGATGTGGGGTTAGTGAAGATATTTTCCCATTCTGTAGGCTGTTGTTTTGCCTTGTTGGCCATGTCCTTTGCTTTACAGAAGCTTTTCAGTTTCAGGAGGTCCCATTTATTAATTGTTTCTCTCAGTGTCTGTGCTGCTGGGGTTATATTTAGGAAGTGGTCTCCTGTGCCACTGCATTCAAGTGTACTTCCTACTTTCTCTTCTGTAAGGTTCAGTGTGGCTGGCTTTATGTTGAGGTCTTTGATCCATTTATACTTGAGTTTTGTCCATGGTGATAGATATGGGTCTATTTTCATTCTTCTACATGTTGATATCCTGTTATACCAGCACCACTTATTAAATATGCTTTCTTTTTTCCATTTGATATTTTTTGCTTCTTTATCAAAGGTCAGGTGTTCGAAGATGTGTGGATTGATATCTGGGTCTTCTATTCGGTTCCATTGGTCCTTCTGTCTGTTCTTATGCCAATACCAGGTTGTTTTCAGTACTGTAGTTCTGTAGTAGAGTTTGAAGTCAGGGATTGTGATGCCTCCAGAAGTTCTTTTATTGTACAGGATTGTTTTGACTATTCTGGGTTTTTTGCTTTTCCATATGAAGTTGAGTACCGTTCATTTGAGGTCTTTGAAGAATTTTTCTGGGATTTTGATGAGCATTTCGTTGAATCTGTAGATTGTTTGTTCTCTTTTAAACACAC